TTCCCCAATATCATGCACCTCTAATGTGAAATGTTGTGCATTTTTAAATAATATTATTAGTTAAAATGTAATAGCAAGTTTCCATTGTGTTTTATTTGTAATAATAGCCTGTTTATACTTGTATAATAACTTAAACTGTTTCAGTGAATGGAGAAGATTACTATTTATTTAGCACTTCGGTGAAAGAGATGGCTGTGTGTCAAGCCAAACTGGTAAATACACGTAACTGTTAAAGTAGTGAGCTCTCTAGAGATGGTTACACAGTGGACAAGAGCTGTCTAGGACAACACACTAGGTATCGCACACATATGTTACATAAAGTTCACATCAGCAGTCCAAAAGCAGTAATAGAACCACCAATCTAATTTAAACTCAGGATTTGAACAAAGTTGTGTTAGTTTAAAGTGAATGAAAACAATTTCTACAATATTTGAGCTCTCTGTATGAAGCAAATAGACTTTTAAAAAGTTAAAAAAGAAAAGAAAAAAAAATCAGCATCCTGCCACTTTAGCTCTCAAACACAAATTTATGACAATGTTTAAACCTACATAGTCTTGATCAGGTCACAGTGTAGGCTGAAATATTTTCATATTAAATTTGTTTTTGAGAGCTAAAGTGGCAGGGTGCCGATTTTCTTACTTTTTCAACTGTGTCTGGCTTGATCGAGCACCTGCCTTTAGGAATTATTTGGATGAGCACACAATGATGTTTTAGAGCATATAGACTTTGAGCCACAGAAAAACAAATGTTTATTTTACGATATAATAAAAAAGTAACATACACAATCTTAAAACTTAGTGTTTCGTTAAGTCATTAGGTACATGAACAATAATATGTGATAAATATAATACCAGCAAACAAAGAACTTTGCCTAAACATTCCCATATGGTTTCCTTTTAGTTCTCATTTGGGCAGCATTGAAACTGAGGTAAAGTTGGTTTTATATTCGCACATTTGTTCATTTTAATGTTCCTATATTGTCTATACGCTAATTTTAATATCACATTAAAGTATGACTTCAAAACAACATTAGCACTATTTAATTCACTGTGAACAGTGTTAATAAGTTAGTCATTGGCTGCTAATATGATTTCCCCATTTAGAACTTTTCAAATAATACTCATATTATAAGGGAGGAAGTCCAAATGTGCAAATTTAAACCAACTTTACCTCAATATGTTTGGGAAACAAATAAGAACATTCTCTGAAGACCTTAACCTTTACAGAACAGAATTGCAGGCAGGGATTTCTTTTTTATTTTAAGCAATAACTTAAATTAAACTTACAAGAACATTCCAGAAGCATGCTCCTCACCTACAGGCAATGTTATCATTAAGCTTAACCTCCTAGCAAACCAACAGAGAATTTACTAGAAATGTTTAGCTGGGATGTAAGCTAATTCTGATTGCCATACATTTGTCAGCTCAGGTTGTAGTTACATTGAGAATCGCTCGGAGTCGGAATGATTCGGGAATCGTTGAAAAAAGTTAAAAGATTCGTTGAAAATGACTCGAAAGAATGACTCTTGAATCGAACTTCAATGTATAACCATTGCTGTTTCTTGAAATTGAATCTTACGTGGCGCTTTTGTGATAACTTAGGCATTTTACTTTATTTTACACTAAAACTGTAGGTTTAGGTTGAGAAACAATTTGTCAAGAAATTGTATACCCTTAGTCACATAATGAAGATGCCAATATGTTATGTGGAGAAACTTTTGACAGGTAAAAGTAGCAGAAACAAATCTATATTTGAAGAAAGAGACAAAAACAGGGCGGCAGCGAATCAAACAACAGTTAAATGACGTTAGGTAAGAGATGCATTACAATCCAGCCATTGTCTATCAAGTCGATAAAGCTCATCGTAAAATATCATATGAAACATCAACAGACCTCGAATAACATGCAAACGAAAAACTTTGCCAGCTGTGCTGTAAATACTTACTGTGTCTGAAGTCTGTTACTTTAAACTTGAGCAAATCAAGCTGAAAACTTTTGTCTCCACCCCTTGTTTGTTACCAAAAAGTGCTGTTGCTTTCGGCGATTCTTAATGGCACACGCTAAAATAACGATGGATATGAGACCTGACGACACTTTTCTTTTAAAGACCTATCTTTGCATAATGTGTACGTGGCGTCCTAGCTGTTTTTAACCACGTACTAGTGTGGACACATCGGAGAGGAAGTGACGTTTCTGGTTCTTACCCTCCGCTGTGTGATGTGACTTCACTATATTTGCCAGTGTGGAGTGGAGGCCTTCCATAAGAAGATGATATGAAGCGTCTTTCTGTGCTGATGTGTCCATGCTTTTACTACCGAGATCAACTAACTTGTCCTTGTGAGACAGAGCCTATATATGTGGATTTATTTATTGCTAAATTAATAACTGAAAGTGTAACCTGATGCTGCACTGAACTGAGTGAACTTGAAGGAATTTTTCTGCAGGGCTTGTGAATTTTTTTCACAAGTAGTTACACCTGCATATTGCTTTGTGCTGTGTTGCAATGCTAAATGAAAGTCCATAAACTAATGCTCTGAAACAGGCCTGTAGCCAGAGGGGTTTCGGGTGGTTCGGAAAACCCACCCACCTTCTGATAAAGTCCAGAATTTGGCCCCATATAAGCTAATTTGTCCCATTTTTAACAGTATGTCATCATAAATTTTGAAAATAACCAATTGAAGATGTCTTTAAGAAGAATAATCTCACTGTAAAAAATCCTTGTTGCCTTAAATTTTTAATATATATTTATATATAACCCCAGGCCCGTAGCCAGCCTGGTGAAAAGGGTTGGTTCTTTTTTCTCAAAAAACTGGACCTTTTTGCAGTTATTCACCTTATTTTCTTTTTAATTATGAGGTATAATTACTGCGTTTTAGTGACATTTTTAGCACTATTTTTAGCTGGATTAGCCTGTCAGATGGTCATCATTGCCACACTTTTTGAGGTACCAAAAACTTTTGCTTAATATTTAGAAATATGAAAAATTATTATTTAAAAAAATACAAATTTATTACATCATATATCATCTGGAAAAAATGAGTCTGTTAAAGTTTAAAATAAAATAAAAACTGTAGCCTATTGTCATTTATTGGGCAAATAACAAACTGGCCAGCACATTCAACTTTCCTCAGTCAGAATTTGGCCATCTGAATAATAAAGAATTAAAAGATTCCTTCATTTTCTTTTCGGCTTAGTCCCTTCATTAATCTGGGGTCGCCACAGCGGAATAAAACGTTATCCAGCATATGTTTCACTCAGCGGATGCCCTTCCAGCTGCAACCCATCACTGGGAAAATTAAAACATTAATATTAATAATGCAGAGCTTCTTGATTTTTCTAGTCTTTTTTGTTAAAATAGTATATTTTAAAAGTTCATGGATAACAGAAATAGTTTAATTAGTAATAACTTTAACATGAGATGCTTTTGTATAAATAAAAGTTTCCTGTTCTAAAGATGACTTTATACGTCAAATTCTCCGTTATTTTATTTTATTTTATTTTTTTGCACAACTGGACATTGGACTATAATTGTTTGCATTTATTGGAAGTCTCTTTTAATGCCTTCACAATTAATGATTGCATAGCAGTCAGAATAAAACAAATGAGCTCATGTGTGGGACAAACTCTGGACCTTTTGGAATTTTATCAGTGAGTGGTGAGTTTTTCAAACCACCAGATTAACCCCCCACCCCACCCATAACCCCACCCCACCCCTGGCTACAGGCCAGTTTTTGCTGTTATTCTCCCAATTTTCTATTAAATTATGAGGTTCGAATACTGCATTTTAGAGATATTTTTAACATTAATATTTGCTGCATTAGCTTGTTGGATGATGATCATGACCACATATGTTGATGCAACACAAAAATATTTCCTGCAATTTTGTCAAAGTGCTTGCCATAAATAAAACACAAAGTGTTTATTTAGAAATGTGTGTTTAAACTGTGATTTATTACAGTTTTATAAGTAATGTTATAAGATTAAAACTTGAAATATTTTAAATAAAATCTGAAAAAATGCTTATTTTTAAAATACAAATTTATTAGTATTAGTATTAACAAAAACAATTAGGAATATTTTAAAACTCATTAAAAAACAACTAAAAAACATATAAAAAACTGTAGCCTGTAGATAAATAACAAACTGGGCAGTTGTTACATGTCGCCTTTAATTTCATTGCATGTTGTGTGACTATTATTAACATTTGTAGGCATAAACTTTAGAAATTTTAATGTTATTAAGTTAATCACAGTAACTCTAGTAGGTTAGAATGAAAACCCTAAAACATTGCATGTAACATGAATTTAATTATAATTTTTTTTGCACAGAAACCATAGGTCCGGCGATCAGTGTTCATTTGTAGGAGAGGCTTGTGTGTTGTTGGTAAAAAAAATAAAAATAAATGGGTTTATCTAACCCCATTACTTTGTTTATTATTTGGTCACATCCAAAAAGTATTACTTTGTGCCCCACTCTCCCCTATGTCCATAAGCAAAACAAAACAAACAATTTACAATTTTTTACATGTTGTGTGACTGTTTTGAACAGGCATTTAAACAATTCTAATTGTAATGTTATTAATCACAGTAACTTCAGTAGGCTAAAATGAAAACCCCCAAACTAGGCCTATAGACCATTTCAAAGTGGTCATGTCATTGACCCAAGAACATTTCTGCTTGTTGTCAATCTATTTCATAACTGTAACAAGAGGCAATTCAATCAACTTAATATTAAAAATCTATCACAACATTTTTAATCAATAAGTGACTCTTTTTGGATTTTTGGAACCTATGAAAATTAAAAATGTAAAACAGAAAATATGTTGGGACCATTGTTGTTGTTTACACGCATGTAGTAATATATATATATATATATATATATATATATATATATATATATATATATATATATATATATATATATTAAACCAGCAGTCCTCATTGGCTGTTGATCCGCAGCAGCTGTCACAGGGGTGTTTTCCCGCTCTAATTCATAAAGTGACGTACTTCCTGTATTGTCACACTGCTTCTAATGTCTTGCGGGAACGCTGGACTTGCACAGATTCAAACATGACATCTATCTAGCGTTAGATGTCGCCTACATTTTCCTTTAACTGACGGTTTGCTGTGGTGAGGGATTTCATCGGTGCCCTTTGCTCGTTTTGACGGTCTTCCCTTCATCCCTAGTCGGGTAAACAAATACAGGCAAGTAACAATTTACATAGTTTTAGGATTCACTTAACATTTGAAAAGCAAATTCTAGGTTTTTATTCAAAACTAGAGACTCTCGTTTTCTGAATGGCACGTTTTGAGCATTAACATTGGGCAGTTTTGTTATGATGAGCTCCTGTGTTTGATGCAGCAGTTCCACAGAATCTGATACAGTGTTTACTTGAAACTCATACAGTAACGTTAGTCTGTACAGTAGGCTATACGCGAATAAATGTGCAGAATATTGCGTAAAAGAGCGGCATGGACGAGTGTTACCTTATAAACATGGAGAAACACCCCAGGTGTTTTTTCATCTTCATTTGCACAGATATTTTGCTTATTGAGTTTTCTGTACAGTGCCTATGGAAGATCATCATATCCTGTGAAAATCTATACCTTTACTCACATTACACCCAGCTTTAAAAGTAAATGTAAAGTTGGTTTTATATCTGCACATTCAGGCATTCTCATTAATAATACAGTTTCAGAAAAGCATTATTTGTGAATTCTAAACCTGGAAATCATATTAGCAGCCAATGAATATCAAAGTAACGTACAACATTGTTTAAAGTCAACTAAATAGAGCTAATGTTGTTTTGAAGTCATTCTTGTGATGTAAGACTGATTGTTCAAATTAGCATAGTAAACAATATAGGGACCATTGAATGTGCTAATATAAAACCAACTTTACCCCAATCTTTTAAAAGATCTTCCAGATAAAGTTGTAGAAATTTCAAAAAGCTGCAAAAACCTTTCAAAGGCTGAAAAAGTTACACTAAAAACGCCAGGTTCCACACAATTCCTTTATGTTGTTCTAACACAAATCAGTTAACTGTTTTTACAAATGTAAGGCAAGGCAAGTTTGTTTATATAGCACATTTCATACACAGTGGCAATTCAAAGTGCTAGAATAAAAGAAATAAAAGGAATAAAAGAAATAAGTGTAAGAAAAATAAAAACAAATAATAAAATGATAAAAAAACTGATAAAATGTGTTGAAAGAGTGAAGAATGAAAGAGAAGAGATATAAGTAGATTGAACTTAAAACAATTAAGTTGTCACAAAAAACTCAAGAACTGTGGAATTTTCATTTTTCTTCAGTTTAGTGTCTTCATTCATCAGTCACACACTCACAGCTGAATGAACCGCCAACATATACAGCAGGTGTTTTACACAGCAGATGCCCTTACAGCTGCAAGCCTGCAACCCAGTACTCGGAAACCTCCATACATTTTCATATGTGTACACACACACACACACACACACACAAACACACACACACACACACACACAATACGGCCAATTTAGTGTATTCAATTCACCTATAGCGTATGTGTTTGGACTGTGGGGGAAACCAAAGCACTTGGAGGGAACCCACACCAACACAGGGAGAACATGCAAACTCCACACTGAAATTCCAACTGGCCCGGCTGGGGCTTGAACCAGTGATCTTATTGCTGTGAGGCGACAGTGCTAACCACTGAGCCACCGTGTCGCCTTTGTGTCATTTTAGCTCTAATAAGTAGGTTTAACAATCCTATTTTGTGTGTATTTGGGAAAGTTATTTGGATGGGATTTGATTTTAGAATGTTTGACAAATAAAGTAATTATTTTAAAAGGGTATGATGATTTCCTATTGGGTCTACATCATAAAAACGCATATATTTGAAGCACCACACTCACAAAATTGTATTACTCGCCTTTAATTTAATTTAAAGATTAACGTATTAATATTCATAAATACTTTGTCACTGCTGGATTTTTTAAAATTATAACAGGAGACAACTTTTATTTTTTTCTGTACCTTTTAAATCTGATGTAAAAAGATTAATTCCTCACTTTCTAAAATGCTGGGTTATTTCAACCCAATTTTGTGTTAACAACGTACTAATGGATTCCTTATTTTTTAAATTAAACCAAATGTCAATGTTATTTCACAAATGTGAGTTGATGTAACCCTGTCTTTTGTTTAGGTTTTTGTATTTATATATAACTAATAGAGGCCAAAATAAGTTATTGTATTTTTGCTATATTTTAGAGTTTTATATTGTGACATGTCTTTGTAATGACAGTGGTAAAGGTTTTATACAATTTTGAAATTCACTTAAATGTCTTTATCCGAAAATAAATTGTTTAACATGCAAATTAAAAGTTTTTAACAAAATCATCAGAGCAGAGCTAAAGGTCCCATCGATAAAGTTTGCAAGCCTACATAAGCTGAAAATACCCAAATAATACTTTCATTTTTGATCACAGAAGGGGTTTAAATGGTTTTATAAACTGCTAATAAATTTGGATCGTTCGAAAAGTTTGATTGCCATATTTAATACTGCTCCTCCTTTTCCTCGTTTTGACCACTGAGTGGCAGCATTTAATAACATGAGGTGCTCCTGACAATTTACTGATGGATATTGCTAAAGTTGTGACATTGTTTTCTTAAATATTATTGAATATTACTTGGTCACACACTCACACACATAAAGTGTCATTTTAAATTTCACTGAAAATGATACCAACATTAGGTTTGTCCATTTTTGACTAATATATATATCTATATATATATATATATATATATATATATCTATATATATATATATATATATATATATATATATATATATATATATATATATATATATATATATGTATATATATATATATAGACAGACAATATATAGTGTAATCACTACTGAACACCGTTGTTATGCTTGGTGTGTGTGGTGTTTTTTTTTTTTATTTAATTTTTTTTTTGATAGTATATTCATATTTGTCTTATGCATTGTCATTTTCCTATTCAACAAAAGAGGGCAGCAAATGACCAGCTGTAAAACCCTTGAACCACACCAGTGTTACACTTGCTCGCATCCCTGCCTAAATTTCTGGACTGTTTCACAGTTTTAAGTATTATGGCCTTTTATACTCTATTCTTCATCTATGTTACAAGAAGCACTTTAGAAATAAAGACGAAGTGAATTGAATTTAGTAGAAGCAGATCTCTTCACTTAACAAGCAAATCCACACTTGAATCTTCAGATTGAAATGTAATTTACTTTTTGTATAGTGTTTTAAAGAGATATTTGGTTATTGAGAAGTATCTGGCAGTACTATGACAGATCAACAGACTTTAAGTCTAATATTTTTTTTAACTTTTCTTTTGTGTATTGTGGAAATAGAATAAATGATGAACAAAACATTGTAAATGAGTTTCCCCCTCTCTGTCTGTTTTGGCTGCATCTGGACAAACAGCTTAACTAATTAAGCTCAATTTGTGAGCAGCGAGAGGCCAGAGATGTGTGCTAATATCAGCTCTGGGTCTGACAGGCTTCTCATTCCTGCCAGCTTCTAACCTCTTCTCCATGGTTTCACGCCTGTTGCTTTTTGCCTCTTTGGAGGGAAGCCTCTGTGCTTGTGATTGGCTAAATCTGTTAGACACCACACCGTTTTGCTGCTTGTTTGGCTGCATGTTTTGGTGTTGTTTCAAATTTATTTTAAAAATATGCAAGAAAAAAAATAATAATCTCATCGGTGCACTACGTATTAGTTAGAAATGTGTGGACATTACCAAACAAAACAAACACAACCAAAAGTTGTTTTTGATGTTCAATGGGAGCAGCCTGTAAATACTCGAATTAATTTAGTAGTATAGTGTACACTAAAGAGAAAAGCGCATGAATATTTTTTTACAAAAGTAAAATTTCTTTAATGAGGGCACAGGTGTGTGAAGTGTTTATGGAGTGCCATGCAACACATTTGAATGCATTCTAGCCAAGAAAAACCGATGCCAACTACTATCTATTACAAAAAAATCATAAAATTAATCACTCACTACCCTTTGACAAGTCCCTGATTTATCAGGGGTCATTACAGCAGAATCTGCCAAATACTCAAATACACTACATACATTTTTGCGGCAGATTCTCTTCCAGCTGCACAAATTATATCTATTATTTTATTTATTACAGAAGATATAGAAATGGTTTCAAATGTTTACAATAAATGTTTGTATACAAAAACATTTATTATTATTAATTTTGATAATAATAATAATAATAATAATTAATATTATTATGTTATAACCATAAGTTGGTATAATAAGTATCCGTTATAGTAATATTAGTAGTAGTAATAATAATGGTGAAATTAATTTTTTGTGAACTATTTTAAATTGTTCAATTTGTTTACTTATTGAACTGTACATACCCACTGCATATGGACATTTGTAATTATCTAGACACCCACTATAAATATACACTTGTAATCTAGTACTGATTATTAATAGCAACCTGTACATATATTCATATATTGTAACATACACTTGTAATCATGTTTATCTATCTGCACACTACTGATTATTAATAGCAACCTGTACATATATTCATATATTGTAAATCTGCTCATAGCTTATCCAACCTGTATATAATGTTCATAGTACATCCATCTGTAAAATATCACCATAGTTTTTCTATAACTGCACTTTATAACTTATTCCTGTATCCTGCACTTGCTGCTATTGCACTGCTGGTTAGACCTAAACTGAATTTCGTTGCATTGTACTTGTACATGTGTAATGACAATAAAGTTGAATCTAATCTAATCTAATATTATTGTTATATACTTCTACACCATTAAAATTGCTTAAACAATATTATTCTTAACATTACGGTTTAATATTTACAGCTTTAATCTATTACTTCTTACTAATGAATAGGAATAATGAGAGTATTATTAATAATAATGATATATTAAAATAATTGTATTAACATTAATCTAATAATGATGATTATTAGTAGTTTGATCCTACTTACTTTACTTACTCCCAGGGCCATCAATCAAAGTTGATATTTAGCTGCACCATGTTGGTGTTTCGTAACATCAGATTTTCATGAAGTGGGTCGTTAGTCCAATGCTTAACCCCCAACCTGGAGGACCAGAACATACACTCATGCACTACGGACAATTTAGGTTACCCAATTGCCCTATAGCACATGTCTTTA